CACACTAATGTCACCACACGAGGTTGCAGTTCATGGTTAAAGTATGCATTTTCTCGTATCTGATGCAGCTTTTATTGAGCTACTTAAATAAACAAATTACTCTCCTAAGATGGCAATTCAAATTGAGATTGTAAACTCAATTATATGATATTATTTTTGAAGCACGTTTCTTATATTCATCAGGCAATGAATGTCTAGTTTCTATGTTTAATTAACTTACATCATCTGTAAATTGGAGCTCTCTCTCCCCTGCCCCCCTCTTTCTTTTTTTCATTTTTTACTTGGCAGGAAGAACTTGAGTACCCCCCCCCCCCCCAAAAAAAAAAAAAAAGAAAGAAGATAGTTGTATAATGTTACTCAAGGTATTAGAAAACATCTAGTACAAGATTTGGAAGAAAGCATGCCTCATTAATGCTCCAAAGTTTCACCAAATGATCATCACTTCCGCTGGCAAATTTTGTCGGATCCAGCCAAGAAAAGTCAACAGACCAAGCCCTCTTGTCATGCTCAACAAATTCAGAAAATCCCTGACCAGTTGCTGCATCCCATAACTGGAACCATCCAGGTATATCATGTCATTAGCAGTTTGCTGAAAATCAGTAAATATCAACAGCAACAATTACAGGTCACTATAGCAGGAGATAAAGACTTTAAGAAAGGAAAATGAGCATCAAAATTTTAAATTTATCAATTATCAAAAACAATCCAAGCCAAAGTTTTCATGACAAAGCCAAACAGTCAAACCTAGAGAAAGACCTGTAAATGCTCACATAAAACAAAAAGTGAAAAACAATAGCCTAGGCTGAAAGCATACTAGTTGTAGAATTTTGCCGGATCCATGACTCTATTAGCCTCTAAGTAAACAATCAGAAAACATGAGATATGCAGGAACATCAAGGGAAAAAAAAAACCGTTAAAACAATGAGTACACAGAAGACCCCAATTCCTTATTTCAAGACATATATAATATCTTGAAAATCCCTTCAAAGAGCAAAGCAAGAGAGACACATGGAGAGGGAAAAAGACCCACATGGCTGATGTGTGCTTCACCAATGAATATGTCTATCCAGCATATTTGCCAAAATAAGCTCTCCACCCTCGCGTCAAGGAAGCTAAATTTGCATTATATTAATTTGGCTAGATTTGAGGCAGTGGTAAGCTTGGTTTTAAGGGTGGGGAAAAAAAGCCCTGCATATAAATGTACCGTGAAGAAGCTCATGTAATGTTAATAAGAAAATCAAGTTGCCTGTCCGGTTCTCATGATGATGATGGAGAATTGAAATAGCGATTTTGAAAACTACAGCCTAACATTACTTGGTACACACCAATTGTAGAAAGGGAAAAAAAGCGTGACCAAATAGCCTACACTAAACGAAGAAAAAGCATCATGTTGTTTAATTGGAAAGACAGCTTTCCAGTTTGGTTGCTTGAATGTGCTCAAGCAGACGTTGAGGAGCAGTTGCTTCAGAATGTGTAACTTGTTAATTGATGAATGAATTGATGCCGTTTTAGACAAAAAAAAAAAAAGAAAAAGAAAAAGCATCATGATTTCATTATGAGCTTCAGAATGAAATGTAGAGTTCTCTCTCAAAGGGAAAGATCAGATGACAGAGATTTGAAATTTAACGATTCTAAAGAAAAAACGCCATCCATATATCTATATTTTTAAGAACTAAAACTAGAGGTTATGTCATGGCAGTTAAAATTTTAATTCTGCACGAAGTTCTATATCCGAAAAATTAGCCAAAATAAAAACTTCAAGCCCCTGCAGAATCAATGGCAATTTTGTGCAGTTACGAGTGGAATGACTTTGATGTATTGTTTTGTTACCATTCCACCACCCAAAAAAAAAGGGTTACTGTTATCTAGCAGAAATATATGACAGAAATAAATTTACTCTGTACCACTTGAAGAACAAACCGTGTAATACACACCTTGACTGCCCCATCATAGTCAGTAGAGGCAAGATAGTTCTTTATATAGCTATTCCAGCAAATGCAGCTGAGCTTCGATTTGTTTGACATCTCAACTACTGGATAATGAATGTCAACAGAATCGTCAAAAAGTGCATGGAAATCAAATATCTTAATTTTCTTTGAGACTCCACCAGCAGCCAGATAGTCCTCATCCCGGTCAAAACTCAAGGAGCATATTACATTTGCTGAATTAGCCATATCTCCATTCCTTAAAACCCTCGCACTTTAAAATTACTATAGCGAGCATACTTGCACAAATCGGTAAAGAATCCCCAAGGCAATCAGTGGTTTTACATATCCCTCTGTCCTTCCTAACGACCAGTTCTCTCGAATTCTTAACAATCCTTTGTCACCACGTGTAGTCATATCCTTTCGAGGAAGTGAATATTAGATCTCATTGAAAAATAAGCACTTTCAGCTGCCTGATATTCTTTGTCATCTTCTCATCACATAAAAGAGGCAACTAGGACGAAAATCTGAACTTACATGCCCCCCCTGAGCAATCTGTTTCTCTTTGCAGCAAGGGACTCCTCAGCTAAGGAGGTACAAGCTGGTAATTCTCTAGTTTGCCTTTTCTCAACCTCTTGAACATCTGCTTCTATGAACCTAATTTCCTCTACTAAGTTTGAAGCATCTCTTTGTTTTTTCTCTTTCAGTGACAAGAGAAAATGCAACAGCAATTCAGATTCAGCATCCTCTTCCTCAATAGATGATACCAATTCATCTCCAGCTAATTCCTGAATGCTGCATATAACTTCAAATTGCAGAATTTCCCTGCCAACCGAAGCAGCAAATGAGTGTAGTGTAATGCTTTAGCTTCACTGACTCGTACTACTGGATGCATATGATGCAAGCAGATTTGCTTGTAAGGAAAATTTACCAGGTAATGATACAAATTGATGACCCACAGACATGAACAAATAAGTTAAGCCAAGCAGGAAGGGCTTGACTTGATTACAGTAATCTGAAAGTCTGTCCAGTAACCACCAGTTAGGTTAGTATTTATATATAGAAGAGGCCCTAGACGGAATGAAAAAGAACATATGCTGAAAAGTAGAGAGGCTTAGGATCGATGCATGTTTGATAAGCTGGACGCCTTTAGGCTTCAATAAGGAAACTTGCTTGAGTACCATATTTCAGTTTTCCATGTACAAGATAAGGAAAAGGAAAAACAGGGAATACAGGTGCAATGAAAACACTGAATATACCTGGCAGTTGGACGTGATGATGATTCAGGATGAAGCAGCCAAAGGCAAAATCCAGCTTCCTTGGGATTCTCTGACAGGAACTCTGGAGGAAGAATCCTGTGACGTAGATCCAGCATTGCTGCTTCATGAGATCTTCTAGAGTCAAAAGAACTGAGTAGCTGCAAATCATCCATTTTAGTTTTACAACTCTACCTTAATGAAGAAGAGCTACAAGTAAAAAGAAGACAACTATTTTTCTGGCCAAGTTGCAAAATGAAGTGGAGCAATACAACTGGCCCTGGGCCTTCACAGAAAAGTAACTATAGTTCCTCCACTCTCATTAGATTCATAAGCTTCATAAGCTGAGAAAAAGGCTTCCTGTAAATGTCCAATTCAGTACTATTAGTCAAGCTAACAACCAACTTTTGTTTCTCACGCTATCATGGTTCAAATTTTCACACAACTATAAACCACGAAGAAGACCTGGGAAGTTCATCTCCATTAACACCTACTTTCAAAGTTTGTGAGTAACTGCCTAAAACCAATAAGCACACGGGGAAGACCAAATTATAAAACCTCTATCTAGAAATAATTGAAGATCGGCAGAACTGCAAGTTTAAACTGGGCAATTTGCAATTTCAGTTAAATATAAGGAAGCCAAAGCAATTGAAACACAAGGATGGTGATCTTATGGATTATAGCGTAAATGAAGGTCAAATTTTAAATTGATCCCACGGACAACAAAAACAATGTGATAGACATCCTGTTTGGACAAGTATAACATCTAAACCACAGGCGGTAGGGATTGTTCTCTCACCTCAAATAGAAGAACTCCCAAAGAGTAAATGTTCGATGAAAATGCCAAGCGCCTCTCATTGTGCTGCTCAGGACTGGAATACCATTTCTCTTCCGACATAAAATTTACTGAAGTTAAGATTGGTGGTGACATATCAGGTGCTTGTGGAACACTGGATCTGCTCTGAGACTTAAAGTCCACCTTGATATTTTGATTTTCACTAGACTGACTCCCAGAATTAGGCCCCAGGAAACTATCCACTCTGCTAATATCAACAGATGCAGTTTTGAAGTCAAAACTGGATGAAGAGTGAGGCAACCTTCCAGAATGTAGCATGTTATCACCAAACTTATGCTTCTTTGCAAAATGATGGTCAAAGGGTAGCAAGTTCTTTTCGAGTGGCCTCTTGCCAATTTGATCATGCTCAGACCGGGAACATCATGATCCAAGACATTGTCTGAAAGATGAACAGATGATCCCAGATAAATAACTCTGTTTGATGGCAACAACTTGAAGTAAGATGGCGCAACTCTTTCAAAGCAATTCCTTGAGAGTGCGAAAAATCCACCAGTTTGACAATTTGTCTAAATATGCGCAAGTTCTCCATTTTATTTGCCTTATTCTGACCAGCTCTAAGCCACTCTCTCAAAAGGACTCCATCAGGGTTAGGAAAGGTAGAAATACAGACCAAACTTCAGGAAAGACATTGCTGATAGGCATAACAACATCTCGAGTCGAACTCAATGGGGTATTTGAACTCAGAATCCCAGTACTGGTAGACCTTGAATAACTCTGGTTCCCTGACTCATCACCAAATCCTCTGTCTAAAGGACCTTTGATATTATTCCCTTGCCCTTCAATGTATTCTTTATAAAATATTCAGAATACCCAGACTTGGATACAATTTTTGTTCGGGTAACTCCTGAGGAGAATGCATTACTTAACATACTTTTATTGTCATTACCTGGAAAATTATCCAAGAGTTCTTGATAATTTTCACCAGAAGGCTTCTGATTTTGATCCAAAAACCCTGAAAAGAATAAATGCCCAGTATCCTCCAGACACTTTTTGCTTCCAATTCCTGTCTCTATTTGCAGCATCTCCATTTGAGCCTGCACTTCCTGATCCAGTCGCCTTCTGATGCAAATGCTTCTTCCAGCTCTGCACTCGATCTCTATTGTCTGAGGTACCCACTATAGCAAGATTTTCACCACTATAATTTGTGAACGTCAATTCTTCAACCATAATTCCAGAATTATTCATACAGTGAGGACTCACACTTGCTTGTTCTGAAGAACCCATTCTATCCAAATTTTTCCCATCCAAAATATCTGTAAACAAATGAGACGAGCCCTCATTCTGATCACTCTCATGTGATTCTAAAAGACTGGAGTTACTGGGCTTTAGGAGTATTCACGTTGTTTATGTATAACGTGCATACCATCAGCAGCAGCAACTCCTGTTGCATCATCATCAACCGCCTCATCCATCCCGTTCAAAGTGTATATTCACTTATGCATCCAATCTGCATGTAACATGCTCATTTGGTCAAGACAACTATTAAAAGCAAAAACTTTCTTCACTTTGACCAGACTATGTCAGACAACTTAGAGCATATTTGAGCAACTTTCAGTCTAGCCAATAATGTCCGAGAACTTGGACAGTGATTTAAGTCCACAGATAAATAATCCACCCAAATCCATGAGGTCACATCCAATATGCTCAATTGTACTAAATGAAAGAGGTGGATACAATATGCTCAATTTGTATAAGGAAAGAGAAATGGAGCTAAGTTGAGTGAAGTTCGTGCTCCTTCAATCATAGAACGAATGTCTTTTTTTATGCTTTTTGGATCAAAGCATTGGTCTTCCATATCAATGTCTTATCTAATCTTTTTGAAAATTTTTTAAAAGGTTACAAACTTTCACATGAGTGCAATTCTTACAACTTTGAAAAGATGATGAAATTCATCAATAATCTAATGACCTATTTCAATTTGCAATGAAGAACATACTCCATATTATTGGATTGAACTGCAAATGACATTTAGCATTATCATAATTCCGGTGAGCCTATTAGGGTTATATTCCTACAGATGGGGCCATGTATATCACTATTTAAAAAAAGATAATAGGTAAACATACAAAAAGAAAACTACCATCATAGATCATTCACCACTTGCACTTTTCTAGTTCATAATACAATTGTTACTTGGTCATTTTCATATCTGCATATTGTCAACCAAACACAGGAATATTGACTCTGATAAACTATTCTATGACAACATTTTACATCAAACCAAAGTGGCCTGACAGGTCAATAAAATCACAAAGATAACCAATCAAATCAAAATGTCAACCATTTAAGATGCTTCAAGAAAAAGATTCCTCCAACACCTAGACTTTTCCCGTTCACTCCCACTTCTTTTTCTTTTAATCTGTGCCTCTACTCCAATTAATTGACAAATATACAAACAACACAATAACACATTGCCAAAGTCATAATCTGCTCCTTGCACCGAGCAATTCCTTAACTGGCATATGTATAAAAAAACAACAAAAATAGTTTCCTTAAACTGCCAATCAATAATTTGATTCCCCTTACATAAAATTAAACTTGCCAAAAAAACAATAAAGCACAGCCAAACAACATCATCTCAGCATCAAAGAAAATATTACATTGATAAAAGGAAAACCATACAGCCAAAACCTTTACCAGCTTACTCAGTCTATAATGATTAGCTGAAAACAGATAGTATCATACTTCAGAATTAGGTATAACTCAAAAAATAAAAAATAAAAAACCATCCCTTAGAGCCAAAAGAGGAGCTGTCCCAGTATTTGGACCTGTGAATAAATACTAAAATACTGCAAAATATTCAACACATCCAGCAGAAATACAAAAACTATCTAAAGCTCAGAACTTTTACTTTCCTATAAACAACGATTCAGTAAATTGAAGAACATAAACAACATTTCTTCCTATCCTTTTTTCAGAAAGCAAAAACCACAAAAGATAATAAGGTTCAAGTAAAAAGCTGCAATTTTTAAATTTATTAGCATTCAGATGAAGAATTAGTTGGGGTCTGGGCTGAACCATATTTCCAAATTCAAACCTTCACTCTTCATTCTTCTACATATTCCCCAAAAAACCCAGAAAAACCCAAAACTCGGTAACAGTTATATTGAAGAAAAAAAACGTTACAGCAAATATTGCATTTTTAACTCAAGATTTTCCAAGACAAGAAGGGATTAAAGTTGAAGGGCAGTTAAAGGATTACCTAAATTGGGTTTTAAAGGACGGCATGAAGCAGTAAAATCCTCAGGGTACCGGCCAAAGTTGAAGAACGGAGAGGATTATTGTGAGCCATGGAAAAGAAAATAAATAATAAGAGCCCTAAAGTTTTGAGGGAGTTTAGCTTAAAAATGGTGTGGAGAGGGATAAATTATCATGGGACTTACCTGAAATGGCAACAAATATCTTGGGTACGCTATTGGCCATAGGGGAATAATTTATATCCGCGGTCATTAGAAGTTTAGAACCACTTGTTAAATATTTAAAAATCATGGGATCTCCAATTTCCGATTATTGTATTACTGGTAATACCTTTGGAAAATAGGCATAGTTGCCTAGTTTGCTCATTCTACACGAGAGTAAAATACTTTTTTATCAAAAAAGAAAATTACTTTTTTCTTCTATTCTTCGCCACAATAATTAGTTCTTTTTTGTCTTTTTCTTTCTAAAACCCTATACGTTACAGGTTGCTTTTTAGATAGTTTTTAAGACATAGGATAAAACATCATGATTAAAAAAAAAAAAAGGGAGAAATCTCATTACGAAAGAACTGAAATTATCACAGTACTAATTTTTTATCTTGTGTTTTAACTTTTAAGAGCACATAATATAAGAATTATTATTAAAAAAATAGATTTCATTGTTGAGAGAGTTAACTCAAGTTTGACTCATAATGTTGCGAAATCGTAAATCTAATCTCTTGGAAAAATTATAGAAGAAATATGTGAAGAAAATTTTAAAAAAAAAAGTTTCTTGGATCTTATAAATATGCGATTTGTTAAATTAACTTTTCTGATTATGATCGTCTTAGCTTTTTTTTTTTGTTTTTTTGATAATGTCCGTCTTAACTTTTTAGATTATATGAACGAGTCGAATTGAATTCTTGTAAGTATACCAATGTATACAATATAATACACGGCTATTGATCATGAAAAAGGTTAGAATACGAATTTTTTAAGCCAAGTGAAATTTAAGCATAATATCGAGTCAATCCGACTCGATCCAACTACACCTGTAGATAAAGGATGAGAGGTGCGTGGGATATATATGAAGTGGCAAACAGTCCTCCACGTCTGTCAAACAGGTGATGTCCTGCGAAGAATAATTTGAAATGTCAGCAGTCAGATTCAGACGAATGAGGTCCTCGACTCGCGTGGACAAACATGGGACTACAAACTCTTATTTCGATCACCTATTGGTTTATTTCCATGACACGTCATTCCAGCTCAAGTATTCTGCTGACACGTCCTCCATCAACTGGCTTGCCCATCTAAAATTCCAGGCCAATGCTCCCTTAGATAATGATGACAACGACTTGGACCTCATATACTCACCCACATTCCAAGGGGTACCACTAAGCTACTCTCCTTCTTTTGGTCGATACAAGAATTCCTATTCTACCCCTATTTCTACGCCATCATCAAATCAGACAAGTGGCTAATGCATCTTCTAGTGAAATATTAATGGGTTTGTTTGGATAGTGTATTATTTGAAATATTATTTGGAATAATTACTGTAATACTTTTTGTGATGTGATGTATGTGAGATAAAAAGGTGATTGGAAATATAAAAAGGTAGGTTGGAAAATGTGTTTATGATGCAAGCGAAATATTATTTGGGATAATTGGGGTATCCAAACACTCTCAATATATAATTAAAAATTTGATCTCTCGACCTACATTTAATGGAAAATGTAGTGGCCATCTCGACTAGCATGAGTTAGTTTATTGTTAGTCTACTACTCATAACATAGCAATATTTAAGGCCCAACAAAACATATTATGGAGTTCCTATTAGTATCGTCGCCTCTCAAACAGTTATTGGAAGTAGATGAAAACCTTGAAAACAGTTATTCAAACGTACAAGAAACATAGGATGGAACAACAACTTCAGTGACAGTTATTGCTGCTCAATGCGGCAGATGATTCAATGTGCTTTGGGAATATAAAATTGATAAATTAACGCTAAATTTAGCATCCATTTGTCTGTATCTATTCTTCTTTGGAATAAAAAGGCAATCTTGGAAGTAGATGAAACCAGCCTTTGGATCGGTTCCTTTTGAGAAAATAAATTACTTAAATGCGAAATTTGGTGTCTATTGTTCTGTCGGTCCAAGATGTTGTTTGTTATTGGAGGGACTGGATGCTTCTGAGTCCAAAAACCTCAGAACTCAGGAAGGCCCATTGGAGCCCATATTAATCTTGTCCTACCACGCGACAATGAAATAGATGCTTCTTCACATGAAGGAACTAGAATGTGGTTGGTTTCAGATTTCCTCAGGCCCTAAGCTTACAAGACAGCATTTGAAGCCATGACGCAGAGCAGATATTACTGTGAATTTTGCTGACAAAAAAGAAGAGAGAGAGTTTCCAGACAATCTGTGTAAATTTTGATGCTGCATTGCATGGCCTATATAACTCAACAATTTCTAGCTGCAGTTTGATCGTGTGCAACTATAAATACCACTTGACTAAATGTTGTATTCCAGAGAATACACATACTGTATTTTAAGGGAAATATTCTAAAAACTATTACCTATTATAGGCTATTTCTATGACCAAACCAAGCAAAACTATTCAGAAGGCTGTTTGCATTCAGGGAGTTGCACTATACAAATTGAAGAATGCAAAGCCTCCAATCCATGCAAGTTTGTATGACAAAGAACTTCACCAGGTCCATCATATTAGGCTGTAAGAAAAAAAAGACTATCAATGCTGAGGCACCCCAGCCTGTCATGTGTATAAGTTAGCCTGTATGCATCATCTATCTCAGTAACTTCTTAAAAATGAGCTTAGAACTTCGGATGGAAGAAAGGATCCTGCCCATTTTGATATAACTCAAACAGCTTCTCATAGTACTGAATCGCAAGATCTTTACACTTTGAAAGCACTTTTGGATCTTTTTGTTGAGCGTCTGAGACAGTTCTCTTTAACTTGAACTCTGGATCCCCATCAATTAAAAACTCAGCTAATTGAGTTACACTGAAAAAAAAAAAAATCACGAGCACATCCTTCAGTCAAGGCAATCAAAGAACTTGAAAAACCAAGGTCTATTAAATGAACGAGTGTTTAAGCCCTCAAATAGGAGAGTGCATAGAATTTTCAATGCCTTTCACCATGACAATACTTAAAAGGACATCCGAAATGGAACAAATGTAGATAGTTCTCAGCAAGTAGCTGCATACCCTAACACTTTTCTGCTACAGTGTATCATCTGATATTAAAAGAAACTTGATCCTATTTACATACAAAATGAAGCACGCAGTCCAAAACAGGCTGAGCAAAATACCACGCTGGTTCAAGATTAAATCCAGTTGAAATTAAAAGGTGGGCTTGGTCTTATTTTCTTCAATTTTCGTAAAGCTGCCGAAAAAAGAGATTCATGACAAATGCCAAAATTAGTATTAAAGGCTATAATTTGTTCCAAACATTTCAAAAGCAACAGCTTTCTTGATAATAATTTCTTTAGAGTCTCCTCCCCAAATAACCTTTCCCAGTATCTAAATAAGCAAAAAGCACAGCAACAGCACACAAGAAAACCTTGAATAACTGTTTGTTTCACAGTCATGACTAGTTTTAAACATCATTGCATTTCATTGTCAGAGATTCAAATGAACCATATTGGAAAGTATGGATTGTCTGCATTCACATTCGTCATACCTCATTGCATCACAATAGGAAAAACCTGGATCTGCAAGAACTGATGATTTCATGGGGGATTTCTCTGCAGAATTTTTCTTCCGATAGAGAGCACAAACTGCATTCATGCAGAGTTCATCATCCTTCTCAAGATCTGAAAGCATGTCTGCTGCAAAATTCCATGTCTTCAGCCTGTATCCTTTAGCAATTGCAACCATTTTATCCACATAAGCTTCCAGACAAGATTCGCTCTCTGAATCACTAGAAGTACAATCACTCGAGTAATCATTATCATCAAAGAGTGATTTTTTCAGACCAATTTGGACACTGCCACCTTTCCTTACTTCTCCTAAGCGATTTTGAACAGAAAGCAAAAGAGGTTCAAGACCAGCGGATTTGTCAAGCTTCACTGAGCTGTCACTACCAAGGGAACCATTTTCATCACGAAGCAACTGCCCATTTTCTTCTTTCTTCCTCTTAGCCACCATAAAGTTAGTGTCACTAGTCTCAATCATGCTTCTTTTTCTTTTTGGCATCTGATAAATATCACAATCTTCCATGGAACCAGTTCCATCCTCTTCCTCTGTTTTCATAAAGCATGCACCTTTCCCAATATTAATGAAAGGCACCTTCTTTCCAGTTGAGTTGAAGTCTGAAGCACAAGTAGTAAAGAAATGTGTAGACCCAGCAGGAAGATTTTCTTCATCACTATCACTAATTTCAATAACAATGGGAGATCCAGGCGCCTCACTAACTGGAATGCATGAAGCAGCTGCCTGATTGGAGCTATCAGTTTCAATCACCAATTGTTTTGGACCACCCATTTGATTATCACAACCATTATCTGTATTGGTTAAAGCTGCAACAGAAAACATACAGAGTTTAACAGGATACAAAAGTTTCAACGAGAAACATTACATGTAAGAATGCAAACTCAAATATGGCCAAAGGTTTTGAAAAGGCCAGAGTGTCACTTTTCTGCAGGCATCTGTTCATAGTCCTTAGATATTGCTGAAGAAAGCAGAGTTTTATGTTTCACTGGCCACATTTCAAATGCTTGGTGCTTTTGCTAGCATTCCTTGACATGAGATAGCTTAGATTTTTTTTTCCCTCAGTATATTTGGATTGTTGGAACTATAACTTCATGTGGCATGTCATGTAAACTGATCCCGGGAAGTAAGTGTAACATGAATGCAGCTAATAAGTAAACAACACAATGACATGAATATAAAGAGGTTAAAAATGTAGCAAATTAACATCTTTCCAAATAGATCAACAGAATAAACATCTTCACAAGATAAAAAAGGGAAGAAGGATATGCAATATTATGTTTGTTTGTGTATAATTAAAAGTATGGAGGTTGCTAACAACAAACACTGTTATAAATTTCAAAATAATTAAAAATATGGTGGTTGCTTCGATTTAGCAAGTATTCTAAAGTTCAAAATAACAAAGGACTTACAACACACAAAAACTGTTATGATGTTCTCCATAATTAAAAATATGGAGGTGGCTTCCATTTAGCCAGTATAATAACGTATGACTGACCCAAAAAGTTACAAATATCATGAACAATGCAGCAACAAGCTGCTACTGCTTGGTAAAATTCATATGTTATGTCTGAAAGTAGTTCAAAAAGACCCTTACACCAAGTGATTCGACATGCCGCCCTTTTTTTGTTTTTAACTTAGTATTCAACTTGAAGTCCTTGGGAAACAAGGCACCAATTCTACCATGATTAAGTCAATATCAGTTACAAAGCTAGAAGTGGCACACCATCCAAAACCCTCAAAGGGTACCATTTACCACTGTTAAAGCTTGTTTCAGAAGGTGCTAGTTTTCAGATCATATCTTCTTCAGTGCTTATTGACCTATCTTCTGTGACACCAATATAATGAAATTATTCAACTGACCTGGTTAGATGCACGTAAAACTTCAGTGCAGCCCGAACATTAGAAATCTACTTGAATCAAGGGAGATTATAAGTTTCAATATGGTATTGAATTATGTGCAAGATTCTGAAGAAGGGGTTACTTCACATAGCATCAAGTGGTTTTACATGCATTTGAGTGATATGCCTTACATGCACTCCTATCATAACAAAGAAAATCAACACTGGTGCTTAGATACTGTGAATACAAGCTCTTAAGCTCACAAAAATCAATCTTAAGATCCAGGTTTGTAACTAAATTCCGTAAGAGAAATACTTCAAGCAAGTTGCTAGACCGTGACTACAAATATAGCTAAAAGAACCAAATAAATTAGAATACCTGCTGCCAACAAAGTTTTATTTTCTTTTCTGGGTGAATACTATCTGTTCCAACTTCAGGAGCATCACAAGCAGCTTGTACATCAGTAGAACACAGAACCACATCATGTCCATTCATTGTCCTCGCATTACTTTCCAACAACTCCTTGCCATTGAGATCTGTATCCAAATATGAGGTTATACCAGACTCAAACAGGTAAAGAAAAATAAGTGACACTCCTACAGTTTTACTAGTAAAGTAATTTTCATTCTTGGAACATTTAATTGTTAATTAACCTTATGAAATGCAAACATATAAGGGGGACCAATGATCTCAAAGAGTTCTTGAAACGTGTCATACATATCCATGAATAAAATTTCTTTTGAAGGTCTCACTTCACAAGCATTAGTGCACATGAGGAGGAGCAGTAGTTTATTAACAGCATGCTACAGGATCCCAGAGGAATCCGTCACCTTTTTGACAGACACTGGTAAAGGACCACTCAACTTAAAAAATATGACGTAAGAATGAGAATGGATGATATGCTGAATGCAGAAGATGGTAAAAGAAAATAAAAGTGAATTGAAGAAGAACTTCCGTTATCTCTTTTTAGATCTTGCGGTATAAAGATCAAGATTCTTTCGCCTTTAGAACTTTCACTAAGAAACTATTAAGTGCTTCTAGAATTTGACTTACAAAATTAAAATGGTCAAAGATGTTAACAATTGTAGCAGGATGGAGGAAAAGTAATAGGTTTCAAATTGTAGAAATAGTAACAAAACTTAATACCACAAAAATGAGAAAAGGTATCTAGTTATCTGGTTGCATATGAGAGAAGATGACATTAGCTCTGCTAAGCATACAATCTGTACAAACAAGTCCTTTGAAACAAAACCTTTGTATTTTCTGAAATTTCTAAGAGTGCCAAAGATGTTGCTAGGTTTACATTTTATCAGTTACATCTTACGCTATGGTTGATCCTGAGCTTAAGCTACCAATGAAAGAGCAATTACAAAGTAATAAGACAAAAACCAGCACCAACAGCAGAGAGTTTAATACAGAGACACATACGCTCAGAGGAGATTTGAGTATGCAGGATAAAAAGTGAAACTCATTTAGCATGTGATGCATCATGTATGTAGCAAAATATGAAAGCCACATGTTTGACCTTGATGGACAATGCACAAGTATGAGCACAACATTAAATCGTCACTATCATACTTAGAAGATACACAAAATTTGGACGTGGGAACAGTTGAAATTTGATCTTTTGTTTGTTCCTAGCAACAGAAAATGTTTGACAACAGTAAAATATCATAATTGTCAATCATTATTTGAATTAGCTAACCATAAACACCTCCACTATTCATCAACTGTGAATCCAGGGTAACCTAAAACCACATCATGTTCTTTGAAAAGAATTGCATGGTTTACTTTTTCATGGGGAATTGCAAACATGTAAATACTAGCATCCACTTAAGACACACTAAAGACTCAATATTGTCACCAAAACAATAGACACTAGTCTCCATGGATGTATGTGAGATTTCAGCATTATACAACTCTGTTATGAAACATTTTCCAAAATTAACGAAATTTTGACCAACATACTGCACCACAATGATGTACATGGCAATATATACAAACCACAGACACATAAGGCATAGACAACATTTTCACATCAATTTATGTCATCAATGATGACATCTAAAAGGAAAAAGAAATGTAAACTAGGTCAAAGGATAAATAACTTAGAAGTTACTGGATAGTTGCTTCTTTTAGATGAAATAGAAAACCAACATTCATCAAAGAGGAAAACATATCACGGTGACGTCCTCAAGGACACCAAAGTAACTAACTATATTTGCACTTCCATCATTTGCATATCAGTCAACATATCGGTAAAACACCACCCTCAAAGCCGTGAAAAGAGTGAGAGAAACGCATTCAAGACTTCCACATTTGCAACCAACTAAAAACCAGCTTGGATACACTAAATAGTAATCCCTTGTAAACAAAACCATGATAAAGAATTGGAGTTTCTTTTCTTTTTTTTCCCTCCTGTCAAAAATGTGGTTTGAAAAGAGCTTAATGACAAATTCAACTTCACAAAAGAATAATAAAAACAAAAATTAATAGCCAGACAGAGTATACAAAAAGACCATAAAGTGACGGATCATGTGACATTTTATCCAAAGTGTAAAGGCTACTAGATGAGGTTTAGATTCTGATCTGATTAAGAAGTTACAAATATAAAAAAATAATTTTCCTGAATTAAATCTGAAAAGTCACTAAAAGGATTTAGATTATTCTAGATGATCAATAAGTTCCATAACCAGCCAGCTTTGCTCGATTTTTTCTTGTAATGCTAAAATATTAAAGTCAGATCCTTAATCATAGCATCAAAGCTTTAGGTTCTGAATGAAATGATATAACATTTGCAACTTTGACTGCTACAAATTTGTATCCTTGTGAATGTACAAAGATTAAAAAACATTTCTTTTTGATCTTTATAATCAACAACCTAATAGGGTCCTTAGATCACTTGGTATGTTACTATAAAATTTGGGATTGCATTTTATCACAATTACTGTCTCAAACAGATCACGATCTAACAGTGCTAAAGGTGGAAAAAAATTACATGTCCTACATTAGTTCATTTAGCATATACTTCCCAAACTGTGATTTACAAATAGGGACATTTTACTTCTAGAGCATCAGTGCAGAACCAGAAGCTCCATGGTGTTTGGAATGCACTACACTGATTTCACAAACCACATTTCTAAATTTCTTTCCTGGCCTCTGTTACCAGATGGACTAAATCAACTTCCCAAATTGGCAAAGGTGGTTTTGACTAATTTAGAAGTTTATTTTCTCAAGTCACATGCTATATTTTTTTCCCTCCATTTGAGGAAGCATTCTACATTAATATATAGTGATATTCTGATAAATCCCATGCCACAGCATGAATAGGCAAACTAGGGATATTTCCTGTAAAGCAACTTCTAATGAAGCAATATTTGTAGATCTGATATTTCTGATACCTACTGATTTCACACCTTCAAACGTCTCAAGCTGAGAAATCTCTCCAAGCTTCTAACACCATGATTTACATTATACTGTACCAATTATATCCTCATTCGTACTATGTTGTACATTGGACACCAATGTAATCTTCAATGAACAAATTGCTGCAATTGCACAGACCTACCAACTTCTTGAGGAGATCCTCTGGTTGTTAATTATGTTGTCATAACGTGATATACATATAAAAATAGTACACAATCTTCAATTGGAGGAATCTGCTCTTTTGTTAGCTCAATGGAAGTCCTAGTTCACCTCTGTTGCTTGCAATAGAAGGTGAAAATGGCTAAGAAATTGTCCTAAAGGTGGCAATTGGATAATGTTTGATTTTTCATAGATGAGCATGCTCTTAGCGTTGATTGGTGCAATACACAAATGAAGACCTCACATAGATCAGGCATAGTCAGTGTCATTAACGATTAAGCAATAAAAAGCACTTTCAGAGTTGTTCTCTTAGCAAATATCCGGTTAGTCTTTGGTGTCAACTATAGTCCAAGAAATAGTATTTCCCTATTTCTAGCAAGAAGAAGCAGGGATTAAGGAAGAGAACAGACTACTAGACATTCCTATAAACAGCTCAAAGGAAAAAGGAACAAGATGAAACAGTACAAGAAGCAATCAAGGAAAAGATATTGGTAATCTTAATGGCGCTAAACAAGAAGCTGTGAGTTCTCCATGTTCATCTCTTAATTTGACTGCAAAAAATGCTTTTAGAGGTCTTTGCTCTTTATCTTTCCTAAGCTAAGTTATATGGGCGTCAAACAAATCAATCCAAGCCTAAGATTTCAAAAAATATTCTTTAGACTAATGGCCAATCCTGTCTAGGAAAGTTAAGAAGACCTTCTTGTTTACCCAAGGATGGAAGGGAGCATATAACCAAAATAGTTCCTTGGTACAATTGAAAAGAAAAAAGAACATTAAAAATTCTTGATAAACTCAAGTCCTACCAAAACCAGGGTGTTCTAATGCCATCCTTAAGATATCATCTACTCAACCTATAATACCAGAGGGGTCCATAAATTTTGGAGGCCCAAGGTACTATAGCTACCTCATTTACAGCAGTTATCAAATAGAAAGTTGATGGCATTAAAGTGAAGCTTGTGATTATACTAAAACAAAGGCATTAACCAAAATCTGCCTTCTATACAGAAAAGAGAGTAAGTTAAGAGGAGGATCAACCAAGAATTTGTATCACGCATGAGTCTTGATATTGATTTTACGTAATCAATGGAGAAAGGGATGTCTAAGGTGATCAAATAGAGTTTAAAAGAAAGCAAAGGCAGAGAGGGTAAAAAAATAAATGATCTATCACACAAAAGAATATCAAAGAAGTGTGAAAAGATGCTAGGAAGAATAAAGGAAACTTGGTAAAGAGAAAAAGAAGAAGAAGAAGCATTTCGGAGAGAGCAGAGGTTTTAGTAGTTTGCTGAACATGAGAGACCTTCTCATGCCACTATTAACACGTTAGACACTCACAGGAACCCCTCTAACGAGTATTGACAACCTGGAGGTGGACCAAGGAGCTAATCCATTCAGAACTCAATTGATCTGATTCCCAGACATATTGCACCTCTGGTCAATGCCGCCATTCTGTCCTAAGACAACACAAAGAAGATTCAGAACTTCTTGCTAGTTGATGGGATTTGATATCAGGAAGGGGCTTGCACATTGTACACCAACATCAAGTTACTGTAACCCTCAAGGAAGAGACAAAGGTCCAATATTCTTTTACTCCTTTCAGAAAGTCTCTGTGTTACACCAGTATGTGATTATGTACTAAATAAAATATTAATGGGGCATTAAGTTAAATGGCACAAAGCTAAATGCTACTGCAAGATAAACTAAAACTTAGAAAGCATCCCCTCGAATGGGCCATTAATTGGTTTCAAAAGGTTTCTGTAGGTGTTCCTTGCTTCTCCTCAAAGATTTAGCACATGAAGGTGAAACTAATTGCCCCATCATAGATGGATATAACTAGCAAAAGCTAAAAGCAACATATTCTTAACCAAAAAGCACGACAACTCACGATCATCATCACAGCACAATATCCTTTTAATCCAAGATATAAATTAAAAAGAAAATGCAAAAACACAAACTAACAATATAAAGAACTATCCTTCTGAAATTTATGCCAACAAAAAGAATTTTGATGTACTAAGGCATTAAGAGTCCATTAATGCCAAATTCAGATGCAACCCCCTATGCGGCTTTATCTTCCTCCATCTGGACAAACAAAACAGCAGGCTACAAGATTTTCCCTCTAACAACTTCATATAGTGACTTCCCATCACTGGTATTCCACGGCACATGACTGACCCTTCAGCTATCAGCCAATAATCTTTTCTACACTAGAAAATAATCCAGAAAACTCAAAAATATAAGTGATGAAAGGCACTTTCAGAAGAAGGAAATAAAAAAAAATGAGAAAAAGGAACCTTATAGCAAAGTATCAATTACACTTAACACAAATACATGTACCTGATATTCATAAACTTCAAAGTATCCGAGGGAGAGAAAAATAATATAAGCTTCTGTATTTAGTATTTGTTCAACTTCAGAATATCCCTGTTCGGGAAACAAGATTTCA